GCAATTCACTTAACAACCATAGCAATTCACTTAACAGCAGTGGCCAAAAAAGGTTGTAAAATGGGACAAAATTGTATTCAACTTCCTTCCTCCCTCCCTCCTTTCCTTCCTTCCTTCCTTCCTTCCTTTCAATCTCATCTCCTCCCTCCTTTCCTTCCTTCCTTCCTCTCAATCCCATCTCCTCCCTCCTTTCCTTCCTTCCTTCCTTCCTTCCTTCTTTCCTTCCTTCCTTCCTTCCTCTCAATCTTATCTCCTCCCTCCCTCTCTTCCTTCTTTCCACTTAATATCATCTCCTTCCTTCTTTCCTTTCCTTTCTTCCTTCCTTCCTTTCTCTCAATCTCATCTCCTCCCTCCCTCCTTTCCTTCCTTCCTTCCTTCCTTCCTTCCTTCCTTCCTTCCTTCCTTCCTCAATCTCATCTCCCTCCCTTCTTTCCTTCCTTCCTTCCTCTCAATCTCTTCTCCTTCCTTTCTCCCACCCTCCTTTCCTTTTTTTCTTTCCTTTCCTTCCTTCCTCTCAATCTCATCACCTTCCTTCCTTCCCTCCCTCCCTCTCTTCCTCCTTTCCACTCAATATCATCTCTTTCCTTCTTTCCTTTCCCTTCCTTCCTTCCTTCCTCTCAATCTCATCTTATTCCTTCCTCAATCTCATCTCCTTCCTTCCTTCCTTCCTTCCTTCCTTCCTTCCTTCCTTCCTTCCTTCCTTCCTCTCAATCTCATCTCCTTCCGTCCTCCCACCCTCCCTCCTTCCTTTCCTTTTTTCCTTTCCTTTCCTTCCTTCCTCTCAATCTCATCACCTTCCTTCCTTCCCTCCCTCCCTCCTTCCCTGTCATTTCCATCTCCTCCCTTTGTCCTTCCTTCCTTACGACAGCCATCTCACAACAAATATTTTGGCCTCATGGTCGTAAGTCGAGCACTACCTCTTTCTGATCAGAAGGGTAAAACAACTGAGTTTAACTTGGTGAATATATTTTATTCGTTGGCATTGGGTGGACAAATTATGCCCCAGGGACTTGGACATAAAGGAACTTATTCCCGCCAGGGTTATTACCGACGCACCGCGGACTATTTCCCTACCAAGAACCGCCAGCGCCTTGGGTGTTTCGCTGTGCCAATGGTCTTCGGAACCTTTTTGATCGATTTGCAAAAGGAGGACACCCTCGGCCTGGCCTTCTACCCGCCTCACCCCACCTACTCCTGGCCCTTCGATGACATCAGCGTCTTTGCCTATTCTTGCCAAGTGACAGGTAAGGGGAGGCAGTCGAAAATAATCTGCTTTTGGGAGGGAAGGGGATTTTACAGTTGTTATTTGTTGCTGATGTAACATGCAAAAATAGAAAAGCCGAGAGTAGGAAAAATAGGAGAGGAAAAGGGAGAAGGGAGAAGTGTAGAAAAAAAAAGAATAAAAAAAGATTTTGACTTTTCGACTCCAGTAAAATAAAACACGAATATCAAACCTCAAGTTTTTACTTTTACATAATAGCATGCCACTAGCCATTTCAAGGAGACGCAGTGGCTCAGGGGCTAAGACGCTGAGCTTGTCGATCACAAAGGTCGGCAGTTCGGCGGTTTGAATCCCCAGCGCCGCCTAACAGAGTGAGCTCCCGTGACTTCTCCCAGCTTCTGCCAACCTACCAGTTTGAAAGCAGGGGAAAAAATACAAGTAGAAAAATAGGAACCACCTTTGGTGGGAAGGTCACAGCGCTCCATGCACCTTCGGCATTGAGTCATGCCGGCCACATGGTCACGGAGACGTCTTCGGACAGCGCTGGCTCTCTGGCTTTGAAACGGAGATGAGGAACGACTGGCACATACAGTATGTGTAAGGGGAACCTTTACCTTTAAGCCAATTCAATTTCTACAAAAATCTGTTTTATAATCAAGTGACATTCAATTAAGTCTTTAAATCTTTTTGGGATCCATGTGTTTGTTTCAAGAAATAAATTGTTATCTTTTTATCTATCACTGTTGGGTAGTTTTATCGGAAGAAAATAACAGAGGTGGAAGGGAGCTTGGAGGTCTTCTAGTCCAACCCCCTGTTCAAGCAGGAGACCCTATCTCGGTTCAGACAAATGGCTGTCTAGTCTATTGTAAAAAGGGGTCCTTTACTTACGACCACAAAGGAGAAGAGGAGGAGGAGGAAGAGGCAGAGGAGAAGGAGAAGGAGGAAGAGTAGGAGAAGGAGAAGAGGAGGAAGTGTGGGAGTCAGGGTCAGCATCAGGGCAACCTGAGATCTCCGAGGGGAGAAGAGGGAATGGAGCTGCAAACAGAGAGAGAGAGAGAGGGAGGGAGAGAGAGAGGGGGGGGGACACGGAGCCTGCGCCGCCCGTCAGTCCTCAAATGGAGACTCTGGAGGTGGCTGATGAGGAAGAGGAGGAACAGCTGGGTCCAGTGCCTGACACTTGGATGCACAAAAATCAGAGGAGAGGAGAACAGTGGAAATCTATGAGCCGGTCCTCAGGACGGAAGAGCCACCGCTGCTAGCAAAGCCCCACCCTAGCTCTGGGGGTCAAAGGCAGGAGGTGGAGATGGATAGATATGGCAAACAACTATTCCTCTCCCGGCCGGCCGGACTTGCTAGCCTGCGGTGAGAGATAAACTTTTTTAATGAGGCCTCCAACGTTCCTTTTGAGTTCCCGTCAGGAGCTTTCTGGTGTTTGGGGGAAGCTGGGTCAGAACCATTTTTCTCCACCCAGGAGCAGAGATGTTTCTGTGCAACCAGGAGAGGTTCGGGTACATCAACGTGCCGATGGGCTCCCACCAGACACTGGAAGAGGAAGAGGTCCAGTTTGTGCATCTTGTCCTGGAGGCTATCGGTGGGTATCACCCCCCCCCAGCTTTCCCAGAGAGCCTCCTGGGAAGGATCAATGCTTGCTTTGGGGGTGGGGGGGGATGAGAGAGGTGGGGGGCTCTAGGTGGGACTTTAGGTCTTGAGGATGGGAATGGGGTCGCAGTTTTGGAAAGGGCTTGAATTGGTGGGAAGCGTAAAGCGAAACACCCAGGCTGTGTTTTCGTTTCGCTTTGTTTCGTTTTTGTGCCTTAGCACACTGAAAAAAGTGGAAATCCCTCATTTTTCTTTTTTTTTTATTTATCCCTCCCTCCCTCCCTCCCTCCTTTCTTTCTTTCTTTCTTTCTTTCTTTCTTTCTTTCTTTCTTTCTTTCTTTCTCTTTCTATTTCTCCTTCCCTCTCTCCTTTTTTTTCTATTTATCCCTCCCTTCCTTCTTTCTTTCTCTCTTTCTCTCCAAGCTTTCTAAAGGAAAAAAAAAGGAAAACAACATTTAAACTTTGAAAAAGTGTAACAATTTCCTCTCGTTCTGTTCCTCTCCCTTGCAGTCGATGGGCCTCCCATGGCCCGCTCCAGGCACCTCTACGTCCCCCCAAAACATCCCACCAAGATCGGGTTTGATGAGGTGAGGGAAAGAATGCCAAGTGGATTTGTTCTGCACTGGGCAGTGGGCGGGGCTGGACTAGATGCCCTCTAAAGACCCGTTAGGTCCCTCATCATCCCCCTTTTCTCTCCCAGGTGTTTCTCATCAACCTGGCCCGACGCCCCGACCGGCGGCAACGCATGCGGGAGGCTCTCTTTGAGCTGGAAATAGATCCTTTGATGGTCGACGCGGTAGACGGAAGGTGGCTGATGGGTTGTGTAGTCTTTTTCAACGTGGAAAGGGTCCCGGACTTTGACTTTCCAAGGGGCCCCCTTTAGGGCATTGATCAAGAGAAAGATCACAAGCTTTGTCCAAAGCCTTTGTCCACCACAAAGCCTCCCCTTTCAGTAGCAGTCTACCCTTAAGAGTGGCTCGGGGCGCAGATGCCATCCCAGCAACCTCCAAATCTCACGAAAGGGCACAATCGTCTCTGATTTGGGCTAAATCTGGATCCCTTTCCCTCAATTCTTACTACAATATTTTGATTTTGTTTTTCTCTCTCAGGGCCCTCAATAGCAGCAGCATCAAGAAACTCGGCATCGATTTATTGCCCGGATATTATGACCCCTTTTCGGGGAGGACCCTCACCAAAGGGGAGGTGGGCTGTTTCCTCAGCCACCACCATGTCTGGAAAGAGGTACGATCCAGGTTTAAACCTAGTTTGTCTTTCCTTTTGTCTTTTCCCATCAGGCCATTCCAATGACCAGGAGGACGAAGAAAGCAGAATTAAACGTGACTTAATTTCAAAGCACCGTATTTTTCGGAGTATAAGACGCACCTTTTCGTCCCCTAAAAGAGGGTGAAATTTGGGTGCGTCTTACCCACCCGCCGTCCCCCCACCCTTTGGCCTCTGCCTCCCAGCAATTTGCCTCCTTGCAGCCAACAGGGAAAATGGGGCTTGCAAAGGCTGCAGCCTGAAACAGCTGATGATCGATACTGAAATTGAAAAGTGAAACTTGCTGTTTGCTCCAGGAGGCAAATTGCTGGGAGGCAGAAGCAGATTTTTTTTTCCTTGTGCTAATCAGGCTGTTTGCTGCAAGGAGGTAAGTCAATAACTATAAATGCCTATCGAATGTTCAAATGATTAGACTTATTTTTTTAAAGACTGCTTTATCATTGTTCTAGGCAGCTTAACAAAATGAAGAAACTTTTTAAAATAAATGCTGGATCTGAAGAGGCCCTGTGCTATTGTATCTTCTTTTAAATAGCAGAGAATAACGTATACTTCCAGAAAGCCACATCCATTTTAACAGCATCTGTACAAGTATAGTCTCAAATGTAACACTACAAACAGCGTATATTGTCTGTACTGTTTGCTGTTTGTTGCAAGGAGGCAAATTGCTGAGGCAGATTTTTTTTCTTGTGCTAATCAGGCTGTTTGCTATTGACTGCAAGGAGGTAAGTCAGTAACTATAAATGCCTATCGAATGTTCAAATGATTAGACTTATTTTTTTTAAAGACTGCTTTATTATTGTTCTAGGCAGCTTAACAAAATGAAGAAGCTTTTTAAAATAAATGTGTATCTTGTCTGTGCTGTTTGCTGTTTGTTGCAAGGAGGCAAATTGCTGGGAGGCAGAAGCAGATTTCCCCCCTTTGTTTTCCCCCCTAAAAGCTAGGTGCGTCTTATACTCCGAAAAATACGGTATGTTTAATTTGAGGGGGGGAAAATGGTGGCTAATAAGATTATTCCTGAATTGTTGACTTCATTTTTTCATCATTTTTCCCTCCAGATATTTAAGCATTAAATGTGACAATTCGGCTTTCACTCTTGGCAGGGCTCCAAAAACTTACCTCAACCTTTAAACCCTATTTACAGTTAGTCCTCGAGTTACGACCACAATTGAGCCCAAGATTTAGGTCGTAAAGGAGGCGCCGAGTGAGTTTTGCCTCATTGTTACGACCTACCTCGCCACATCTATGAAGTGAGGCCCCGCAGTTGTTAAATTAGTCTCACAGTCGTTAAGTGAATCTGGCTCCCCCCCCCCTTTGACCTTGCTGGTCAGAAGGTTGCAAAACGGCAACCGTCATAAATATGAGTCAGTGGCCACAGGTGTGAGTTTGAGTGACTGTAGGGATGTTTAAATGGTTGTAAGTGCAAAAAAACGGCTGTAAGTCGCCGTTCATTAACGGCTGTAAATGAAAGTCGAGGAATACCAAGATTTCGCTCTTCAAGCAGAGAGAAGGGAAGGAGGCTGCGGAGGGCAGAGGAAATGTTGTGACAGACCCCTCCACTGATGTAAGGAGATCAGCAGAGTTGGAAGGGACCCTGGAGGTCATCTAGTCCAACCCCCCCCCCCCGTCCAAGCAGGAGACCCTTGAAACAAGAGATGCCTGTATGTGTCTTCCAGATCGTCGAGAGAGGGCTGGAGAAATCCCTCGTCTTGGAAGACGACATTCGGTTCGAGGCTTATTTCAAGAGGCGCCTTTTGAAGCTGATGGACGAATTGGAGCAGACGCAATTCGATTGGGAGCTGATGTACGTCCCGTTGTGATGATGGTGATGGTGATGGTGATGGTGGTGGTGGTGGTGGTGGTGGTGGTGATTTTGCCTGGGCTGTGTGTCGAGGAAGGTGATGGGAACCTACCTGTTGGGTATCTCTTGGTTTAACAAAAAGAAGGACTAGGGAAGGGTGGAACAATAGCGGCCTTCCCATATTCGAGGGGCTGCAGCAAAGAAGAGGTTAAAAGGGAAAGGAGTCCCTGCGGATTTTACTCCGCTACTCCCTGCCGACTTCTGCAGTCCTGTGGCCAGCATGATGTCATGGAGCGCTTTTACTTCCCCACGGAAGTGGTACCTATTTATCTACTCGACTCAGCCTTCTGTCCTTCCGAGGTGGGTCAAATGATGACTTGGATTGTGGGGGGCAAGACTCTGTAAACTGCTTAGAGAGGGCTGGAAAGCACTATGAAGTGGCATATAGGTCTAAGTGCTATGTCTGTCTGTCTGTCTGTCTGTCTGTATCTATCTATCTATCATCTTTCTATCTAATCTAGCATCCATATCTGTCTATCTATCTATCCATCCATCCATCCATCCATCTATCCATCCATCTATCTAATCTATATCTATTTATCTATATCTATTTATCTATATCTATTTATCTATCTATCTATCTATCTATCTATCATCTATCTATCTATCTATCTATCTATCTATCTATCTATCTATCT